CTTTACACAATTGATGTGTGTATGGATTGCGATAACAGTTGTATGAGGCCCTAATAAAATGTTAAAAAAAAAAAAGATTTACTTAGACCCTTGTGAACTATGGGTCACTTTTAATGTATCATATTGGGCAGCTATGAGTTAGAATAGATTCAACAGCAGTGGAATTTTCTTTTTATATGAGAGCGTTTAGTTCTAACAAGAAGCCCTGGTGGCATAGTAGGTTATGTTGTGCTGCTAACTAGCTAACGAGGGCAGTAGTATGTAACCACCAGCAGCTCCTTAGGGGGAAAGGCTAGTTTTTCTATTCCCATAAAGAGTTCATTTTCAGAAACTCACAGGGGCAGTTCTACTCTGTCCTATAGGTCTCTATGAATGGGAATCCACTTGATGGCAGTGAGTGTTGTAAATTAGAATAAATTGTTTTAGTGATGTAGCTGACCCCCATTACTTATACAAATACTATAAATAATCAATGTGAAGTTAATTTAAAGAATCAAATATGACATTGGGTTGAAATGGATTAAATTTACTTAAAGGACATAAAATTATGTTTATAATATAGAGCTAATTGAAAGGTTGGATATTAGATACCTATTTTTAGATTCTCTATTGGATTTAGATGTACTTGTTCTCTTTTGTAAATCAAAGAATTGGCCTATATATTTTTAATCTTTTTGTTTAGCTTTCATAGTGACAGGCACTTAATAATAACTAGAAATAGAAATTCCATCTTTAGTGATAATATAGTACAAGAACCTAAGAAGAGAAGGTCTTAAGGTGCTATTAATTAGCAGAAATCCAAAGCACATAGTCTCAAAGCAATTAAGTCTGTTAATTGACTATTTGGATGCACACTAGCATGGATCCTATGTTGTTAGCAAGGTATGCTGGACGTGCATACAGAAGTCACATTATTCAAATGATGCTGAAAAAATTCAGAAAGTACAAATATGAGCCATTTTGTTTATTTAGTAATTAACTGAATTGATGAATGATACATTGTGGAATATATGCAAAGTTGTCTAATTCAATTTTCACACATTTCTCTTTTTGCTGTAAAAATGGTTCAATGTTTATAGAAAACTGTAATAACAACAGAAAAAGATTTATTACCATGGTGATTTTGCTGTCTTTTGATTGGTAACCATCTCTAAATTCATAGGATATTATAAGTGCAATTGCTGGCCATATAATGGCTATAGTGCAGTATATATGCACACTTTGGGGGCAGAGAAATGAGCTCAGCGTGTCAAAGAAATTTTATTGTTGAGCTGTTCTATTGTTTTATACAGACTACATTAACTGTAGTACCTGATAATTGCATGAAAAGTTTTATAAAAATAAACTTTTCAGGATTGTAAACAAGTTTTGACAAAGGAAAGAGAGCTGTTAGAAAAACTTCAGTGGGCAATTATGTTTTGAGTGGTGCTTTTTGTCCATTTACAGCTAAAGCTTTGGGTCAAATTTGGGGTTGGTGCAAACTATAACCTTAAAGGTTGTCAATTCAGAGCCACCCAGTGATGTTGCAGAAGAAAACCCTGAGATTTGCTTCCATAAAAATGGCAGCTTTGAAAATGCCACGAGGCAGTTCTACCGTGGAACACAGAGGCTGCATGCTGTGAATCAGTACGGAGGGCTGGATTTGTTTGGGCTTTTTTGGTTGTTCTAATCTTAGTGTAGATTTCTTCTTCTGATATTCTCAGGCTAAGGACAGAGGAGAGAGAATGCACACTAAAGAATTCCCAGAATGCAGTGAGTGAAGGACGAAGTCAGTCTCTAGTCTCTCTCTTAGTATGGTTCCCTTCTCTGAGTTGAGGGATCATCTTTGTGGTCTCCAGGCTATGGAGAAAAAAGAAATGATATCAATAGTTGAAATCCACAGATAATCCTCAAAGCCAACACCAACTAAATAAATTTCCAATAGCTTGTGAAGCTGCTTTTTTTTTTTTTTTAACTGGAGGGGCTGTAAGGCAGTGACTCAATTCTGACTCATAGCAACCCTACATAGGTTTCCCAAGGCTTTGTATATATGTATGAGTGCAGACAGTCTCCACTTTCTCCCTAGGAGCAGTTGGCAGTTTTGAACTTCTGACTTGTGGTTAGCAGTCCTTTGCTGAAGCATGCATAAGAATGTTATGATTTCAGAATGCGCTACTGACACGCAACAAAAATTGGGCTTATACGGAGCATTTAAAAAAATAGATTGAACATAAGGGCAGAACCTGCACACATTATGCACATGTGACAATAAGTAAAAAATTATTATTACTAGGGTTCCAATTTGTATATGTATGGGTCTTTATTCATTGTTAAACATATCTCTGCATCATGAAAATGCACTTGCTCATTCTTCAAAGATAGCACGGCTGTCCTAGAAGGATTTTGTTGAGAAACCTTTCTCCATACACCCTACAGCCCCGATCTTGCCCCTTCAGATCCCTTTTTGTTCTCACAAATTCAAAGAACATCGAAAAGGAACATTACTTGGGGTCCTCAAGAATGCCCAAGCTGCCAAATGTAGTGTAAAGTAAAAAGTAGAGATTTTTTTTTTGAGAAGTATTAGGTAAACACTGCCCTCAGAACTGTAAAAAATTAGATGGACGATATGACAAGAAACAGTATATTCATGGTTTGAGAGTTTTGTTCAATAGAAGTTTCTATGATTTGTAGTTATACTTTTTGACATGCTGCATACGTCTTAAAAATATAAGATCACTTAGTGTTATTGGGTAGTGTTTTCAAAGGTATTGGAAGAGAAGACAGAGGATTACTAAGAGTCATTAAGAGCATTTTAAAGAGTTAACAGCAACAGGGCTCCTTTGGATCAGGCATGTTTCTGTTAGTTATGTCATTATTTACAGAGTTCATTGGGTGATTCGGATCTGTGTACACAGCGACTCACCTGAAGCACCACCCCAGGCTCTGAAGTGAAAACTAAACACCCTTTATTACCTTTTAACACTCATGCCTTTGAAATGTTCTTCCACAGGCAAATTTCCCTGAAGTGTATCTACATCTCTAGATAAAACTTTTTTTTTTCACTTAAGAGATTTATTCTTAGGAACTAGGAGATTCTTGGGAAATGCTCCTTAGTGCGGTTGCACTGTGTTCTATGGAGGAGTTACGATATAAATCAATAATCCACGATAAAGTTTCTGAGCCGGGACGTTCTTTATTTTGTTACGGGGTCTCCTTGTCTGGTGTTCTCTCCCCGCCCCACCCTCTGGCAACCTACTCGCTCCTCCCGCGCCCCTTGTGTTTTCTTTCTTTTTGTTAATTCCTTTTTTTAAATGTTTAATTGTATTTTATTGACTATGGATTATAACAAATTATGTTCAACATTTTAAGGAATGGAGATTACAGTACACCCATTATTACTCCTGCAGAACCTTCCCTTATATCAAGAGGCAGTCATTTGAACAGGATACAGGGACTGACTCTATGTGGTATAAAATAACGATGGTTTTGAGGATATTTTAGTGAGCGATATCACAGTCGAGTGGCTTGAAAACTCTCATGGAGCAAGTTTTACGGATTAAAATCCTGTCAGAAAACATATAAATGAGCTTCAAATTTCCTGCCGTGGGCATGAACAATCCTAGGGGTACAGAAAAGCCCGTAGCCTAAACCTCGCACACAGCCACTGCTCAGTAAGTGCGCCTTCCCCGCCCCATCTCTCGGGGGTCCCGGGCTGACCTGGGCGTTAGCGGCTGCAAGCTTAATCCGAGTCCCGCGGGGAACCTGCGAGGTGGGGCGAGTCACAGGGTCATTTCCTGCACGGAGCCGAGGGGGCGGGCCCTCTGCGTGCGGACACGCCCCCCCAGGTATATCTGTCCCCGCGCGCGCGAGGCCCGCCCACTCGGGCTGTGCCTTCCCTGGGAAAGTCCGAGACGCTCGGCGCAGTGCTGCGCGCGGGGACTCTGGCGGGACGCCGTCTGTCCCCGGGGAGGCCTGCGCACCCCTCTGCCCTCCAGCTCGCCCCCAGGAGCTCGCCCGCCGCAGGCGGAGCCGCCGGAGGCAAGTGCGCCCGGAGGACCCGCCGAGCTTCCCATGGCCGACCTGAGCTTCATCGATGATACGGTGGTCTTCCCTGAGAAGGAGGAGGATGAGGAGGAGGAGGAGGACGGTGTGGAGTGGGGATACGAGGAAGGTAATCCACCGAGGATCCGGTGTCCGCAGCCCCGGAGTCTGAGCGCGAGGTCGGCCTCCCCGGGAAAGAGACCTCGGCGCCCTGTCCCTTTCGTGCGTGCCAAGCATCCCCGCGTCCTGTCCTTTCCACGTGTGTTTGCGTGGCTCTCCGACTCCCCTACCGTGCGTGGGTGCTAGCCCTCTTGAGAGCCCGCGGGGGAGCCTGTGCTGGTCGCCTTGGTCACACCTGTTGCATGACAAGCAGTGAAACTTAAAGCCGTGCCTTTCAAAGCAGAACCACCCAGAGCCCTGTCTCCTGAGTGGCCAAGAAAAGCAGAGTTAACGTTTTTCTCAATCCAGTGCTGGGTGAAACTGTCACTTGCTTGCTATGGGCTTTCTGTGGGGAGGAAATATTTCTGCCTCTACTCTTTTCCTTAAGGATGCAACGCTAGTGACAAACAATTTAGTTGGAGGATGTAGGGGTTCTAAGATAGCTAGTCACTGTGGTCAACTACATGGAAACAAATACATAGAAACAAATGTAGAACTTACAATTTTAATTATAAAAAGTATGGACAAAGTTTCTAGGTGTATATTTTAATTTACGCATTTGACAGTTTTTTGTATTTGCATTTAAGTAGCCCGAGTTACTGTTTTTGGCTCTCACCCAAGACCTTTAGAGTTAAGACATTTCTCAAACGCTAAGTGTAATTGAACTAATGACTGGAAGAAACTGTTGGGGTATTATTTGTTTCTAATCACTTACATTTTCTTTAGTCTTAAGTTATTACAGCAGTGTGGAAAAATGCAAAATAAGAGATTTTGTTAGTCCAGGATTTTGCATGCGATATTTAATAACATTTGAGCATTTAAAATATGAATGTGAATGCACACACACTTTTATATTTCATTTGTACAGAGCTGGGAATTATAACACTGCTAGGACATTAGCAAGAACATAGAAATGCTATGTAGACAGGCAAAGTTTATCTGGCAACACCCTAGGTTTTACATACTAAGTTTTGTTGTAACTTCTTTCAGTTTCGCTGATTGGTGATTTACTTATTTTACCCTTAGGTGTTGAGTGGGGCTTGGTTTTTCCTGATGCTAATGGGGAATATCAGTCTCCTATTAACCTCAACTCCAGAGAAGCCAGATATGACCCCTCACTGCTCGACGTCCGCCTCACTCCAAATTACGTGGTTTGTCGAGACTGTGAAGTCACCAACGATGGGCATACTATTCAAGTGATCCTCAAGTCAAAATCAGGTATTTGAAAAGATATTCTTGCACTCTTTTATAAACTAGAAGTCAGGGTGGAGCTATTGGGCTCCTATTTAGCTTCTATTACAGAAAGGTAGAAGTAGCCTCGATTTTACAGAAACATATATCCTAAAATGTGTGTTTGGACTTATTTTCTGAAATATTTTTGAAAGGATAAAATTATGAAGTTACGAAGAATTCAGTTTGGCTTTTTGTGTAGCATTACTAGAACAACCTGAGTTTGGTTAATTTATGCTTTGTGGAATCTAAGAGAAGGTATGTCCAAAATTTTGCCCTAAAGTTTTTGCTAGCTTAAGTTGTCTAGGTTATTATAATTTTCCATTTCACTATTTCATATAAGTATAGTTTATGATTTATTGACATAGTCTTACATACAAGTTAAACCATTTAAATTATTATGACAAGGAGAATGAAAAATTGTTAATTTGACCGAGTGTTTCAGTGAAGAGCCCTTTAAAAAAATTCTGCTGCTACCATTTGAGCTGAATCTAGGATATTTCAAGGAAAAAGTGCTGAGTAATTATTATAGAAGTACGTTCTTGATTAATGGAAATTTAAAATTTCTGCTTTCTTCTATCTTACATTACAAGAGGAAAATTACTATTAATATCATGAACTCTTGAAAAGAGTTCTCATGGCACAGTGGTTCGTGCTTGGCCTACCAAAAGGTTCTTCCTTCGGTCATTTCTCAGGGGAAAGATGTGGCAGTCTGTTTCTGTAAAGATCGCAGCCTGGGAAACCTTTCAGAGCGTCCTACAGGGTCATTATGAGTTAGAAAAATTTATAGAAATGGGTTTGGTTTTGGTGCTCCCTCCTAACAAAAAAATTAAAATTTGAGCATGTTGATAGCTTTAGAAATGCATGTTAAACAAAGATCAAATGTGCTCAAATTAATTCTAAATCAACAGAAAAGAATTTTTAAAACATAAAGTCTTTAAGTTCATTAGCAGGCAGTACAGGTATTGATTTCTGCCTATGGATATTTTATTCATTGTGAATCTCTGAGCTCTAATCAGAGTCCATGAAATAACCAAATAGAGTCCCTGTTATTGAGTCACAGATTCTGGGTTTAATATTCACTTGATCAGCAGGATCACCTCAGATGTAAGTTTGAACTTATATTATCAACTTTTTGTTTTATGTATATATGTATACATTCACATAAAAAGGATTTAAAGATAATTCATGAGTATTATTACATTGACACACTTTTGCATGTCTATAAATAAAGGTTAATATATTTATCTATATTAACAAAATACAAAGTAACAAAAATACATTTTATGCCAGGCCCTGTGGTAAGTGTTCTTTATACAAAATACATAAGATGATTTTGAGATGCATAACCTAGTGAAAAAAACCCCAAATATTTAAAGAATTAATCTGTCAATTTGCTTTACTCTACGTTGCTATGATGCCGGAAACTGTGCCACCAATATCTCAAATACCAGAAGGATCATTCATATGTGAGGAGACCACAGAATAGGGGCTGCCCTAACTAGGTGCCAAGATCCTGAAGAACAATCTATGAGTCACTTTGGGAGACCTGTATTTTATTATCTAGTGGAATGCTATTTGCAGAGATAGAGTACTGCGACTCTGGGGCAGCTGACAGGGTCAGGGTTTGCTTCACACTGCCCTGAAAGCAAGCAAGAGGTTTTAAACAGTCTAAGGTGCTGGCTGAGAATATTGAAAGTACCATGGGATGCCCAAAGAATGAACAATCTTTGTTGGAAGGTGTTCAACCAGAATGCTTCTGAGAGGCAAGGTTGGCAAGACTTCGTCTCATGTACTTTGGACATGTTATCAGGAGAGACCTGTCCTTTGAGAAGGACATCGTACTTGGTTAAGTGGAGGAGCTACAGAACAAGAGGAAGGCCCACAAGAAGATAGACAGATTGACATAGTGACAGCAACCAGGGGCTGGACAGCACCAAATAACAAATCAAAGGAAAGGAAGAAGAGAGAAGGTTTGGTGTGGCAGGGCTGGAGCAGCTGCGCTGGCTTTGGGGCCACAGGCTCCCAGGGAACTGGTCGTCCAAAATCATCCCACAATTACTTGTGGGCCTTGGTGATAATGTTTTTTAGAAAGTTTTCTTTACTACCATTGCTCTGATTTTTTAAAAAACATTTTATTAGGGGCTCATACAACTGTTATCGCAATCCATACACACATCAATTGTGTAAAGTGCATTTGTACATCATTCTCAAAACATTTTCTCTCCACTTAAACCCCTGACATTAGGTCTTCATTTTTCCCCTCCCTCCCCACTCCCCCATCCCTCATGAGCCCTTGACAGTTTATAAATGGGTATTTTGTCATATCTTGCCCTGTCCGACGTCTCCCTTCACCCACTTTTCGGTTGTCTGTCCCCCAGGGAGGAGGTCACATATAGTTCCTCGTAATCGGTTCCCTCTTTCCATTCTCCCTTTACCCTCCCTGTATCGCCACTAACACCACTGGTCCTGTAGGGCTCATCTGCCCTGGATTCCCTGTATTTTCAGTTCCTATCTGTACCAGTGTACATCCTCTGGTCTAGCCAGACTTGCAAGGTCAAATTCGAGTCATGGTAGTGGGAGTGGGGAGGAAACATTTAGGAATTAGAGGAAAGTTGTATTTCTCATCGTTGTTACATCGCACCCTGATTGGCTCATCTCCTCCCTGAGACCCCTCTGCAAGGGATCTCCAGTGGCCTACTAATGGGCTTTGGATCTCCACTCCGCACTCCCTCCATCATTCACTATGGTAAGATTTTTTGTTCTGATGATGCCTTATACCTGATCCCTTCGACACCTCGTGGTTGCATAGGCTGGTGTGCTTCTTCCATGTGGGCTTTGTTGCTTCAGAGCTTGATGTCCACTTGATTACCTTCAAGCCTTTAAGACCTCAGACGCTATACTTTTTTATAGCCGGGCACCATCAGCTTTCTTCGCCACATTTGCTTATGCACTCATTTGTCTTCAGTGATCCGTTCGACACCGCGTGATCACACAGGTTGATATGTTGTTCCATGTGGGCTTTGTTGCTTATGCTTTATTGTGGCTCTTTTTTCACTCTTAATGGTGGACAGTTTGTGAACCCACTTACTCAGGACGATTGTATTTTATTTTTAGGAAGTTTTCTTGTAATTTTTACTGATATGGTTTCAGTTTTTATTTTTCTCCTCTTTCAGGAGCTCCTTAATTCTTATTGCTTTTTCCTTCTACTTCCTCAAAAACATCAGCAACATGTATCTTTCAGTCTTTCTACTGAATTTTTTACTGCAGCTCCCATTTTAATTTATTTACTCTATACATTTTTCAAATCTACATCCATTATTTGTTTCATAAATGTAGTATATTTCTTTACTGCTTTTTTGGTTATTGTTATTATTTCTATCATCTCTTTTGTGAGTTCCTTATGTTTGTTTGGAAGTTGTAAGATCTGGGAAGCAAAATGAAGACCGGTAGCTGATTTGGCAAACTGGAGAAAGCGGGAAGCTAAGTAACTGCAGAAAGAGGAAGGCAACGAGTTCAGTTCTTACCACAGAACTCAGGAAAGATGAGGAGGTGGAGATACTAGATGCATCTGCATGTGGAGGTACGGAGTGGAACATTGAGAGCAAGGACACTGGCTTCAAGTCTTTTGAAAGAACAGGCATAGCCCTCAATCTCATCACCTGCAGCCAGGCTCCTGACTCCACGCACATGAACTCCCCACCAGCTGTTGTTCTATCGGAAGTAAGATGCCCTGTTGTTACATTGGAAGTTCTGTTCAGACGTATGGTGGTATTGGTTGTTTGTATGTACACAACCATCAAAATAACTGATTAGAAGATCAACACCTTGGCAGATTTTGAGGTCTGGTGGACTTCATAGTAATGTGATCAGGCAATTTTGTTGGAAGAGCCTTGGTATGTTTCATCAGATTCTTTTAATTTTTCTGGGAAATGTGAACAGTGCATGGTGGTTTATGCCTGGCTACCGGATTTCAGGTTGCCTACATAAATAGGAGAGTCTCACCATTTGAATCATTCACTTTCACTTAATCTCCTGGTAGCACGGGTTACTGATGGTGCTGTGAGGTAAACATTGGACTACTAAATGCAAGATCAGCAGTTCAAACACACCAGCTGCTATTTGGGAGAAAGATGAGGCTGTCTGCTCCCTTAAAGATTCATAGTCTCGGAAATCCTAGATGGGGTTACTATGAGTCGGAATTGAATCGATGGCAGTAAGGCAGGAAGTTATAGGAGTGAAGGCAGGAACATTGGTGCAGGTGATGAGATTGAGAGCTGTAACTGTTCTTTCAAAAAACTTTAAGCCAGTTTTCTTTTCTCATTGTCCACTCCATACCTCTATATACTGATGCATCTAATCATATCTCTCCCCCCTCGTCTTCTCTGAGTTCTGTGGGATGAACAGCACTGTTGCTTGTTGGATGCCTCTTTCTGCAGTTACTTAGCTCTCAGCTTTCTCTGATTTGCCAGGTCAGTTACCAGTCTTCACTCTGCTATCCAGATCCTCATGTACCCGCTCCATCTCGCTTCTGTTAGCTCCATTCCTGCTCATTTTGTTCTCATAATTTGTTTCCCTTTTTGTCTTCAGGAGCCCAGGAGATGTAGTGGGCTGTGCACAGAGCTGCTAACCAGTGTCAGTGGTTTCCAGTCACTCTATAGGAGAAACATGAAGCTTTCCACTTTCATAAGGATTTAAAATCTTAGAAGCCCAAATGGTGAATTCTACTGTCATGTGGGGTCAGGATGAGTCAGCATTGACTTGATAGCAGTGGGTTTACTTCTTCTTGGCTTCCAAACAGTGTTGGCAAAATTGTGTATCTGCAGAAGAATGAAGCAGGATCTATAGCTCATTCAAACAAGCAAAAAAACAAACTCAAGGTAGATTAAAGACAAAAATGAAAATCCCAGATCTATAAACTATCAATGAGAAAATTAGGACAAATGTAAGGGCCCTGGTATCAAACATAATGAAGGGAACCAGAAGAC